GAATATGTCTTGTAATCCGGAAGATAAAAATCCGGAAAACAAAAAATTCGGAAAACAAAAATAAGGAAAACCAAAAATCCGGAAAAGAAAAAACCGGAAAACAAAAATATGGAAAAATCTCCAATATCCTTATAACAAAGGAGGAGGGACTCTCTTTATTGGTGGCTAGTAAAAAGTGAACTACATCACTTCTTTTCGTATCAAATGATTTCTCTTCTTTATTGTACATGTTTCTTTGTTAAATAAACTGTTGAATCTTTTTTACAGAATTTTTCCCGATTTTATCTTTACCGAATTTTTTTTTCCAGATTTATTTTTTTCCGGATTTTTTCCTCCGGATTTTTTCTTCCGGATTTTTTTTTCCGAATTTCGGGACAATACCATTTTTTCAATATTATGTTTCATTAATATATAAGAACGATGTTTAACATTTGTATAAGTTGAATAAGCAGCTTGTTTAACACTAAAATAAATTTATTTTAAATAAAGTTCATTTTTAAATTATAATTTACCCTTGAAGATTACGTTGAGTATCTTGTTCAAAACATTCAGATAATTTATTTATTGTTGGCTAAAAGAAAAATATTTCCTTTAATATTATACAATTAATATTATATATTTACTGCATTGTATTTAATCTCAAGCGATTGTGAAACAACTTTAACACGATAATCTGATGATCCATCTAATGGATTTGTTTCAAATTCAACTTGTAATAATTTTTGTTGATTGGATGTGGATAATGATCGAGAAACAGGTTGAGCAAGTACAGGACGACTATTACTGGAAAATTCAGATTGTTGCAAATCTGTAGCTATACCAAACACTTGAAATGAACCCAAATCAACAAAGATCCTAAATAAAAGAGTGATATCAACATGAAACTATTTTAATAGACATACGCAATAGCTGATTTAGCTGGTCTTCGTTTAAAGATTAAACCGGTATCAGGTATGGCTGCTCGAGCAATTACTCGAAATCTAGAAAAAAATAATAATAATAAAATATATATCGAAAAACTCGTATTTACTTACTGAGCATCATTTTCATTAATTTTTGACCAAACATTAACATCAAGCAACTTCAATTGAATAGCTAAATCTATATCGATATACTAAAAAGAATAGATCAAAAAGATATCATTGTCATTTGCTATAAACAATAGGAATTCACTTCTTCTGGATAAGTTATTGTTGAAGTATCTTCTCCCTCATAACCAATTGCATCATATAATTTCTTCTTTTCCTCTGGTGTCATGACTTTTTCGAAATCAAGTTCTGAAAACAAAAAAAACGTTCATCTGCAAAAATAAAATTAATAAGAATGATTAAAATCAAACCCGGATTATCTGCTGGTTCACTTCCACCCCACCAATTCCATATACTTTCCCACAACGTTTCTGGTTCTAGATCTCTTCTTTTCTTTGCTTCAATTTCAGCACAACGACGAATATATGTTAAATTAAAAACATCAAGTTTTTTTTCTAATTCCTATTATAGAATAAATAAATCTTGATTTTGAATTATTTCTATAATTTGTATTATATTTTACTTCTGCTCGTTGTTTTTGTTCAACTCCCAGGTCGAACATTACTGTGCCCGTAAACGGCCGTACACAGTCGTTTACGATGACGTGAACGGCCGTATCCGTCGAAATTACGACCGTATACGGGCCGTAAATAACCCGTTTGGTATGCGCCGTATTACGGTCGTGTGAGACCGTGTCGTATACGGCGAAAAACGACAATCGTTTACATCAAAATCTTTGCCGTAACACGGCCGTATTTTGACGAAGANTACATGAAAAAAGTGAGGTCTTTGAGATTTTCCAAGTAGTTTTTTTGAATTTTTTATTTCAAGAAGATGGGTCAAAATAATTTGGAAATATGCAGTTTTGTACAGCTTGACGAGCTCTATCGAACTATGTAAAAATATCCAAGAAAAATGTTTTACTCCATTTTTAAATTACTGCCACCTCACATTTCTACACCAAAAAATGTATCAAATATCTGAAAATCTCTTAAATTCGACATTAAAAGATCTTCATAACCTTTACCATTTAGTACCAATGAATCCAGTTTTTGACGGGCTTTAATTTGGTATAAAATACATTTGTGATATCATTGATACTTTAAGTTGTAGAGGGGGAGATAAAGGTTATGTGACACCCTGTACAATGATGCAGGAAAAGATTTTTTTTTGCTACCTGTCTTCTGGTAGCCGGCGAAAAAAGGTTAAAGTATCCGAAAATTTTTGAAACAATAAAAAGCTTAAAAAGTTGGTCTGGTTCGATGTGTTGAATATTCCTTATTCAACTTTTTTTCTTCACTTTATATAGAGATGAGTGTTATTCACTTTTTGTAGGGAATCTAATAGCACATCTGTTCGGCGAAAAAAAATTTCATCTACAGATTGAAAAAACTATCGTCAGAATACTGAGAGGTTCATTATTTATGGGCTACTAATGCATAAGCTAATTCACCCTAAAACAATAGAGTATCTAATGACAATTGTTGATTCTAGTTTCAGTAAATATTAAATTTTGGTCTTGCACAGTTCTAATCATGTTGCATCTGTTAACACTAAAAAAGTGTGCTGAAAGCTCTTCCTACACTAACCATAATTTCGAGGGAAACTATTATTTTTAGTTTGAATATATAAGCCTCCCTCAGAAAATAAAAATCAATTTTCGTCAAAAAAAAAATGAAAATTGCGATGATAGTTCGGAGTTTGATCTTTTATAAACATGATTTTTTTTTATTTGGTACTAAATTTTTGGCCAAAATTTCTGGTAATTTTCGCCACTTTGTGCTGTAAAAATGTTTTTCTTCAGAAAAAGCAGCAAATCTTTTCCTCTGTTTATGATTATTTGATCACACATCCAAGAATTCTCGAAGGAGCTTCGTTATAGCCAATTGCCTTTTCTTTTGTTTGAAAGATCATACACAATTGCAGTGACTGGCAGAGCCCGTTTTTTTAATTAAGCTTTTTTATTATTATATAAAAAAAGTATATGACCATTTTTTTGAGAACTTTCCGAGGTATTGAACTTGTCATTCATTTTCTCTGCATAAATAATAAGAATTTTAAAAAAAGACATCTATCAGACACTGCAACCTGATATGCTCTTTCAAATAAAAAACAAATTAACTCTATAGAATGAAAGTTCACAGAGAATTTCAGCTTGCTAAGTGAGCTACTTTTGACCCTTATTTGATGAATATCTCCTGAAAACATCATAATAAAGGGCTGAAAATTGCATGTGATTTAAATGCACCTAGTCCAAGATCGATTTTTAAGTGGAGAGGGCTTAACTTATTTTTTATAAAAAAAACAAGTAAATCGATCTATTGAACTCAAAGATTCATAATACATTAGATGGTGCTTATAAAATCAATAATTTTTTTTCTTTTATTAACTATATTACTTAATACATTCATATGCTACTTAAATGTCTTCTTTTCTCTCATCATGCTGCATCAGCTTGAAAAAATTTTTGTTCTGTCCTTTTAAATACTCAAAAAAAGAAAAAGAAAATATCGTCTAACTTTACCTTCGATTATCTTCGGAATTAAACAAAAAATATGTTGCAACTATTGTTATACAAACAATAACAACAATAAGAATTAAAAATATAAGTAACATAAATCCATAAACATAATAAATCTAAATAAAACAATAGAAAATTTTATTTATTTATTTATTGTTCTATTTATTCATTTACCTTATAAGCCCAAAATGATGTAAAAAGAAAATACCTAAATAATAAAATACTCTTTAACATATTATTCTTTCAAAAAAACAAAAAAACTCATTTACATTTCAATAAAAATAGATCCAAATAGTAAAATTTCACTTGCAAGTATAATTACATATGGTTCTATAAACCATTTCTTTTCTGGTATTGATTGTAGTACAGCATTTGTTTGACATGGATGATTTATTTTGCCATTTATATTTCTTTCAAATACTGTTCCAATTGCAGTTAATGATAAAATAACAAATAAACAAATAGCTGCTACACTTAACTAAAATTTTAATTTAAAAGAAAAAATCCAATTTTTGTTGTTCTTTTAGTTTTTTTTTTTTTTAAACAAACCATAACAGTAAATGGTATTGAACGCGATGATCCATAATAAATTGAAATAAAATTACCAAGAAATGATATACCACAAATTAAAAATGGGATAAGAAATGCGCCAACAATTAATTGTTTCATTCATAATTGTCCTAAATTAAATAAAAACAATAGATTTTAATGATCAATTATATAACTAACCACCCATTCATGCATATAAACTTCCACCAGCATAACCATTAATCACTGATATTGCAGCATAAAGAAATATAGCTGTACTAAAAAGTAATGCACGTCTAAATAATTTCAAAAAATAATATTTAAGAAACTAAATTTATCTTATTTATTTTACTCGATATAATTATCACCAAGAATTGTTATAACAATACAAAGTATTGCTACTGTTGCTATTTGATAACCAGAACCAATTAATGAACAAAATAATATAGGATGAGCAGGAGGATGAAATACGTCATCATGAACTTGTTTCCAACCATATTCATCACCCAAATCACGTTCCTATAGAAAAATTATTTTTTTAAATTATAGTCGATTTATGATTCATTCAATGTAAATTCTAATTATTTACATTACTTAAAATTTCGAATAAGGAATTAACAAAGTAGGAAAAAAAATGGGTACTTAATAAGTATGAATCTGTTTAGAGTATAAATGTCAGCATTTGAATACAAAATCTTTATGCCAGAAATCGGAGAAACTACTTCCCTATGTTATAATCTACATAACGAATTTATTATTTTGAAAAAGCTCTTGATCATTCATTATATACAAATAATTCTACGTTCACATTTTTCGACAGTTTAAATCAAACTTATGAACCCATAATTTTCGAAAAAGACTTGATAATTATTTTTTTCTTTTTCTAATAAAATAAAATTTTCCTTACCATACCATCTAAATCATCATCTTTTCCATATCTTGCATAATCTTTTCTCAATGTTCGCAACAGAATTATACTAACAAGTCCAATAAGAAATAAAACCATCATAAATGAATTAAATTGAAAATCAATGAATCTAAATAATAAATCTATGTAATTAAACAAAATATTGTTCATTAATATTTACCTTATGTTGAAAAAAATTCTGGATCAAGATATTTATTAAATCTATTAGCAAATTCTATATTTGATGGTTTCCATATAAATTCATATGAAAATGTTAATTCTGTATTTGGTTGTATTTGTACTTTTGATTCTGATGTTAATTTAACATCAACTATTCGATTAACATTATATCCAATTTCAAATTTTTTATGTGTCCATATATAAGCAGATTTTTCTGATTCATCCATTTCACCAACAATACCTATTTTTAAGAAATAAAATAATTAAAATGAAAAAAAAACAAGAAAACATGACATATGTATATATAACAAACCCCAAATAGGTAAATCATCAATAAAAATTTGATACCAATAATGATTATTAATTGCATATGTAAATGTATCATAATTTTCATTTGTTAATGTTATTTCACAAAAATCTGTTTTTTTTTGTTTATCACCTACGAATTTGAGAATAATTTAATTAATAAAAAAAAACAAAAACAAACAAAAATTTTACGTCTATAATTAATTTCAATTTCACTATATTCTAATTTAACACCTAAAATATTCTCACCTAATGTTTTATAATAATGTGAGATTTCTTTTTTTGAACCACGACAAAATGGTAATGAAAAATAATTATATGTTTCTTGTCGATTATGATATGGATCAACTGTATTCATCCATAAAACAGCTTCTTGACCATCTTCATACTAAATTAAAGAAGATAAACATTTATATAAGCAGTTTTTTATTTTATTTCTATACTTTATGATCAGGCTTATCACAGTAAGTTATTGTAACAACAGCTAAAAGAAAAAGAAATGATTGATAAATATTCATAATGAACTTTTATTCGATTCCATAATACCGATTAAGAATATATTCATTTAATCGATTGGCTTCATCTACAAAAAAAAACAAATTTTGCATACTCTTTCAATGAAATCTTTGATTAATAAGAATATATCTATTTATTAATACGTTACAAGAAACATCTTAACTATTATCACAGTGTCCCCATCCCGAAGCAGTGCTGTGTGTATAAATCATTTCAATCAATGTGAAGATGTCATTAAAGTAAAGGTGTGCTCATTATAATAACAAATAAATCATCTATTATTGAAATGATGTGCGCATTACATATGCAATGTCTTATAAAGTTTACCTGTACCGACAAACGTAAGGAAAAGAAAAAACCAATCACTACTTGTTTATTACTAAAGAAACATTATGAGAAAATATGACTACATGAGTTTTCTCATATTTTTTTTTTGTCGCTTCAGTAATAGACAATGCCAATGAATATAAACAAATGAAATTGTGACAACAACGACAGTAACAACAAAAAAAAAGACGAATAAACATCATAAGGGTATTGATAATCGGCCGAATTTTTGGCCTACGGCCTATACGAGCCTACAAATATTATTAGTCTGTTTTCCTGTTCGTCTGAATCATCTGCAGAACGAAAAAAAAATAACCAATTATTTTCGTAGGCTTACGTAGGCCGTAGGTCGAAAATTCGGCCAATTATTATTACCCACATCATAAGACCTTTTCTTTTTTTCCCATGTCAGTAAGACACGCTAGCGACAAATGTGTCGACACAATTTGTGTGACACATGAAGTATCGTCACGTTTTGCAACAGTGTCATAGTGTGTCGACACATGTACGTTCGTTGTGTCGCAAGCGTGTCATTTTCATTTTTCTAATAATTCTATTGGTCCATTCTATGTCGCTAGCAGTCAGCCAATAAGCATTGGTGATGACTAACCTCGTCCCTGTCTCTCCATTTTTCCTGTGCTTTTATGATTTAAAGCTAGAATTAGTTACCAAAAAATTCANCATATATAATAATTTTTAAAGAAACTGAATATTTTGAATGAATTTTAGATATGATGTGACTTTTATGAATGTTGTATAAGAAAAAAAGAGTACAAAACAGTCTTACTTTCTCGAGTTTATTTAAATATCAATGCAAATGAATCATACGACACATAATGTAATAGAAAAATAGTTTTTGTTTGTAATCTTCGCCAATTTTCCTTATTTCATATTCATAAATATTTTTCTATGCCATACTTGATGTTTAAATAAATGATGGAATTTATAATAAAAATAAATCTTGAAAGCAGTTGTCTAAAATACAATCAATTGCGAATTTATCTCAAAATTTCTTAATAGTACGGTATTCTTAAATACATATTGTTCAATTTAAATATGATTTAAACATGTGAATTTCACTTCAATCATCATATTACTTCAAATCAGTGTCCTGTAAAGGTGTGAATTTTTGCAATCGGATTGGGACCGTAGTGAATCGATATCCGGCAAATACTTTTACAATTACAATACCGTTTTCAAATTTTCATTTTATATGAAAAAGTATACTACTTAGTTTCTTGCATAAACAGCAACAACAAAAAAAGCAGATCTTCTCAAATGCTACAAAAAATCAACTGATTCAAGATTCATATAGTGCCTTTCTGCTTCTAAAATGCAATCAATTTCTCTATATATACGTTTGCTTGTTGCTGATAAAGCTGGGTTGGAATGCAATGTTGGTGTCAAATGTCATAATTGTGGATACATGCATAATTAGTTTTTTTATAATGACAGTACGGGTTCACTTTTTTGATGATTCATTTTTCTTCTCATATATTGAGTCACTTTGTCATACGGTTCATCATTATTTATTGATCAATTTCAATTAAAAACGAATTATTTTAGTAAAATAATACTGCTCTTCACTTCTGTAACATGTTCTCAATTACAATAAATTGGTTAAGTTTTCACTCCTGTGCTTTAAAATCAATAGAAGTTTGAAAAAGTAAATAAATTTTCCAACATCGAGATCTCATTAATTGTCAGGTCAGATTCGAGTATGAGCTCGTATCTGACAGGCGAATCGACTCGGCGAATTGGTACCCGAATTCATGCTCCCGAACCAGGTCAAATTCCAGAATACTAATCCAAATAGTATGAAGTATTTTTTTCTGTTAAAATTCACACGTTTACTAAAAGGAGAAGACTGATATGGAGTTTATTTAACCAATAGGCTCCTTCTCCTTACTTTAATCGTATTATGAGAATTTTACGTCATATAAAACAGAAATAAAAACTTCAAATGAAAGCATTGCCTTCATTCTCTTTGTATACTATCGACACGAATGAAAATAATTTAAAAAAATAGAAAATAATCATATAACAATGATTAAGAGTCGTGGTTTTAAAAAAAAAAGTTCAGTTCTTTGTCCTCTTTGAGTAGTTCGGTTCTTTTTTCTTCGCTCTCTATTTCATAAATAGAATGTGCACATGATAAATAACCTCTCTTACACATTCAACACTTGAGTTATACTATGCAATCATATATATAAATATACTTTAACAAAGACAAACTCATACACAGATAGATGAAAATGTCGTCGTTGTTCTTCTTTTTTTGGTATTTCTTATTTATTTATAATAATATTACAAATGCGTATTGTCCAGATGATGAAGATCTTCAACGTCATCAATGCATATGTAGTTTAACAAAAAACTATATTCAATGTTCATCTCTACCTAATCAATGTCGTACGTGTTATCGTTATAAAGCAATAATTTTTGATGAAAAAGTTAATATTTTACCAGTAGAAGCATTTCGCTTTTATGATTTTTTTGATGATGAAAAGAATTTTTTATTTAAAATTCAATTTGCTCAATTAAATAGTCTTTCATCAAAGTCATTTTCGAAAATGAATATTAATCAAGGTCGAACATTAGAAATTAAAATAATAAAATATTCATCATCTGTATTACCAGCAAAGGTGTTTGAAGATATAATAATTCAATCAAAATCGCAAGTAAATATTCAAATATTCAATGTAACATCGACTATTTTGACGATAAAACAACATGCATTAGATGGGATAACATTTCATCGTGAAAGTCGATTTCGATTATTAATACTTCATGCAAAAGATACAATTCAATTTGAATCAAATGCAGGTGAGATTTTAAAAATTATTCTTGTATTTTTTTTTTAATATTATTGTACTTCATTATGAGGATCAATTTTATTACCATCTTATTCTTATATGGAATTATATTTTGCAAATTTTCTTCAAGTTTTTTTAAATGAACATAGTTTTAATCATATAAAACAAGAACGTTCAAGTGAATTAATTATAAATTTTGATCGTTTTCAATATGCAAGACTTTCACATAATTCATTTTATGAGTTTCATCAATTTGATGAATCTCGTTTTCATTTATCCTTATTAAATTTTCAAAGTTTAACCATCGAAGAAACTTTATTCGAGAGAGTAACTCAATGTATGTAATTTTCTTGGTTTTTCGTTTATAATCTTTAAAATATACATTTTTTTTTCTTGAAGTAAAATCATATATAATAATGTCAATTTATAATTTAACGAATGATTTATGTTTACCAAATAAAACATTTAGTCAAATAAAACAAGATTTAAATTCAACATTTCAATTTGAAATCGATAATGGACAAAATCTTCTTCTTACATCAAATTCATTTATAAATATAAATCAAAAATTACAATCAAAATTATCTATTATTATAATAAATTCACTTGATGTTTATTTTTCTCATAATGCATTAAATAATATTCATCAAGAAGATCATTCATTAATTGATATTTCTATTAAATACGGACAAAATTTAATATTTGATGACTATGCAATTAATCATGTGAATATTTACAATTCAAGTATTTTAAGAGTTCATTTTCAACATTCAAGAGGCACTCTACAAATTGCTATGAATGCCTTTTCTAGTATTAGTAAAGGTATATTCTTTTCATAGGGCTTTTTTTCACTGGATTTCAAAGATTTCTTATTATAAAAGAAAACTAAGTATTCAATTTATGTCTTCGACATATTAAAGAGAAATAGGTGTAATCTAAATAACTGGACAACAGCAACAAATAGGGATCTGCAGTTTTCAGAAATTGAAAGAGCAGAACTCTGGATGCTGCTTTGTCTGATACTATATAAGACAAAATTATTTTTCAACCTATCATTTTCGCCAAACATTCAATAGTATTCTGTTTTACGGAAACTTTGATAAAAACTCAGAAAATTTGGTAAAAATGAACAGAACTCCATAGAATTTGACTGAATGTTTTAACAATTTTGTTTGCTCAGTATTGAGATGTGATAAGATAATAACCTGAATCGTACCTTAAACTATAGATCTGGAGTTCCTCTATCTGAAGCACATATCAATACCAAAATTACATCGAAACGGAATACTGTTTTCATTCATTTTTTGAAAAAAAAAAACACCCCGAGTTTTCCTCTTTCGATTGCCAAAAATCGCACATCAATAGTTGTTGCTGTTATGAAGTTATTCAGTTTACACTCAACCTCTTTAAGGACGCCAAGTGAGAAATATTTCGTACAGTGACTATTGATAAGAACAAATCTCGACCGATCGACGTACAATCGAACTCTATAAATTGTCTTTCGGAACTTCTTACTTTAATTTTCTTAGTTGGCGTAGATCTATTTTGTGAAAATCAAGACTTTTTTCTGAAGTTGCATCCAAAGATTTTCGAAATCAAAGAAAAAATGTTTTATTCAGATTTTCTTTTCCATAGAGGAGATTTAAAATTCTCAGAAAGCGAACAACTAATTTTGTGAAGATTAACATATTGTATGTGGCGAAATTATCACAATCTTCGAAAGCGTCGTCTCCTCGACCTTCATACTTAATGAAACACTGCAGAAGAATCAGAATTTATGGATAGTATGTTAAAATTTTCGAGCTGAGTTTCTTCAACTAGGAGAGACCATGCTTCCACAATTTAGGCCAATGTTACAAAAAACTCACTATTTTCGAAAAATGAATGGTTTCTTCAGCTGAAAAAATTTAATGCTAAAATTTGTAGAAATCGATGTATTGCAAATTCATATATCTTATCCAATATTCGTATGTTACTGTGATCAACAATTACAAGATCTGATGGCTTGTTCCCGTTCTGTGTCTCTTTTGTCGATAAATAAAAACTTTTTGGCAGCGAGATACTTGTTAATGAATTAGTTATTGGTTACTCCTAATAACAACCAATCAATAAAATATTGATATACTTTAAGACAATACATTTTGATGGAAGCTAAGATGATATGATTGAATATTGTATATTAAGATTTCGTTCGCGTTAAATAAAACAGTATATTTCGAAGCATCTTCTGAAGTATAAAATTACAAAACATCTCTTTTTAGAGAATTACATAGTATCACGTAGAACTAAGAAATAAACAATGGAAACTACACTAGTGCTCGTTTGAAACAAAAATTTCTTTTCGAATTGATTTATTTTTAATATATCTTGAGAATATGTTTTTGTGATATTCTATTTCTTTCTTATCTCCAATTGTTTTCTTTTCTGATAAAATGAATGATTTATATCATTTCTAGAAGAATAGCAACTTTCACAAAATATTTTTTTGACATTTTTTAGTATGCATTTCAACACGAAATAGCAAAGATAACAGAGAGTTTTTTTTTTTCAACTAATGTTTTCAAATGATTTAATTAATACATAATAAGAACTAATGAAAACAAGAAAATGACTTGGTCTTTACATAAAATATTGTATCTACCTGAATAATTCATCATTAACAATAACATATTTACTTTATACTTTTAACCCATGATTCTTCAGAAATGCACCAAGTCATTATTCGTATTTTCAGCTTTTCCAGGTTTGCAATAATACCCTAGAAAATAAGTGTCAGTAATTTTCTGAAAGAGTAGTCTATTAATAGATATATTGGTGATAAATCAGGGATGCGTAGAATTCGAATTTTGTTTCGGTGTTCGGATCGAGCAGGTCGCGTTACGTCTTATGGTTCGAGTTTGGTGCAATAAAGTAGCTTTTCTTGTGAAGTTTCTCGTGATGCACTACTAACTATCATGGCTGCAAATAACATGTTCAAGTGAGAACTTTTGAACTGATTTTATCCATGTTTTCATCCATTTCGTTAGCTACAACAAGGAGAAGATCACTTGACAGTTATATGGCAAAAGATTTTTGCCTGTATTAGAATGCTTTATTATAGACACAGTAAGAAGCAAACGAACAAAATGCGAAAATAGTTATGAGAAATAAGAATACATTTATTGGTGCTAAATTGTTTTTCTCATAGCAGACCGCACTGGAGTCTTCGAGTTCGATGCATACCTATGATAAACAAAGCTAAACTATTATTCTTCATCTTTTTTTTTATGCATAGATCAAAGTGGAAAATTAGTTTTTCAAATAACGAATTCATCCAATTTTTATTTTCGTTTTAATCAATCAACTTCATTAGAACGTATCGAAGTTATCGATCGATCATTATCTTCTAATGATTTTTGTCGTATATCAAATATTCCATCACATATGTTAGTTAAACTTTTATTTAATAATCAATGTTCATGCACAGTTTATTATTTATATCGTCATCTTTATCGTAAACTTCATCGAAATACTCTTAAAAATTTAACACCATTCTGCTATTCAAATATGTCTTTTGATGATATTGCATATGCTGAAAATGAATGTTCATTTAAAAATAAAATTAATGATTGTCAACAAATGGAAGGTGAAATACAAATAAATATTCCACAAGGTACATGTCAAGAAAATTTTCCATTTAATAAAAATAAAGCAGAAAAAAATTTATCGCTTTCATCATTGTTTTTAATTCTTATTATTATTGGTTGTTTAATATTTAGTATAACATTTATTTGTATATTATTTTCAAATAATAGAAAACTATCATTGCCGAATTTTATTTCGAAATATTTTCATCATTATCGACGTCAAAAATTACTACTATTTTCAGCGGATTCATATGAACCATTGACACCTACTGATCAACAAGAATTCAATGATAAAATAAAGAGAATTATTGTTTCATATAATGCAACAACAGAACAAATTCAACCTTATTTAGATACTGATCCAATAGATTTTAATGTATCAAATGATAATCATGACAATCGAGATAAGACACTTAAATTAAACACAAATCCAATGAATGAAATTGAAGATAATAATGTTTTAGATATTACTCAACATCACTAATTTATTTTGATTTAATGTTTTAAGCTTGATTTTTAAGTTTGTTGAACGGGCTAATGAATTTGAAAAAAATAAAATTCATTTGATTTTTTAATGGTTTCGTAGTCTAGCTATTAATATTTGTTCTTTTGAAATATCTTGACTATTGACTCAGTCGACAAACAATTAAATTACAGGATGTTTCAAAAATGTGAACGAAAAGAAAACAATATGAATAACTCCTCAATACTTCGCTGGATTTAAATATTCCTTTTACAATTTCATGACATCTTCATTTAAGTTTCATTTAACATCTGTCAGATAAAATGTGTACACATAGAAGTGAGAATTAAAATAGTTTTACTCATGCTCAAATTCGAATAAGCCAACATTTCAGAACGGTAACTAAAAATTGAATTTGGAAAAAACTCATCAACTAAACATTGCATTAGCAACACATTCCAGCGATATTGTGAAGCCAGAATCACTGACATGTAATTCTGGTACAGAATTCAACTGCGTATTTCTATCGAATTCGACTTGCAGCTTTCGTTTTACACTGGTAGCTGGCTCTAATTTGATCATTAGCGAAACTATTTTAATTCTGACTTCTTTAGATGTAGGAAGTTTATCTGGAATATGCTGAATATAAATCTAATGAATATGTGATCAAACTATAAAAAAGAAATATTTAAATCCCTCGAATTGATGGAAAGTTATGCACATTTTTGCTTTCTTTCGGACTTGTGAAGCATGCTTTGTTTCTGTTTAATATTTGGTTCCTCTTCAGATCAATGACACTCTGTACGCTAATTGGTCTAAATGACAACACACATCAAAGAACGTCGCTGAGAGCATCAAAGAATGAGTAAAGCGCTGCCGCTGATCCGTAGAAGTACACAAGAATAATACATTCGATCTGAAACTTAGTTATTAACTGCATTGTGCGTAACAAAATATGAATTGACCAACGATATTTATACATAATCATTTTATTATTTAATATTACTCATATATTTATCAAGAGTTGTTAGAAATTCAGCACTAAGACAAAAAATATCATATAAATCTTGGTAATTAATTTTATAAAAACTTCGAGAATAAGAGTAATGTACATCTTTCAATCGATGTAAAGCAGAATGTTTCAATGTTGAGCACGGATAATATTCAATAAATGCTCTTATCAAATGTTGAGTTTTCTTTAAAACTGACGAGTGAGATGTTACCGTCAATTCCATTTTCTTCATCGATTAAGCCATCCACCACGACCCCTCTCCCCGGGAAAGCGAAAATTGCTCGACCGAAAAATGGTCGAACGCAAATTGCTCGATACGAAAATTGGTTACGCGAAAATTAGTCGAAAATTTTGTAATAAAAGAACAAAACCTTTTTCCTAAACAGAAGCTCGAACTCTGACCCGTATTTTGAGGGTGAGGTTGTGAGTGAGAGTGAGGGTGAGGGTGTGAGTGAGAGTGAGGGTGAGGGTGTGAGTGAAATTGAGGGTGAAGGTGAGACTGAGGTTTTGAAGCTGATATTGAGGATGAGGGGGAAAAGAAGGCGTATTCAGGAAACAGTACTACAATAATTAGAAGGAGTTGCTCATAATTTCTAAACTACTATTCCTTTTTTTATTTGTCTAACTTATTTATCTGAATCATTATTATTCTCTGACACTAGCATATTAATATAATTAGTGTTTATTTCGCCTGCACACTTCAAACTTCGAGCTTCTGTTTCAGAAAAAGCTTTTGTTCTTTTATTACAAAATTGTCGACTAATTTTCGCATCGACCAATTTTCGTTCCATCAATTTTCGTAGACACGGTTTCAATGAAGGTCTTACAAAAGATTCATCACTTGAGCAATTTCGTTCAAATTTTAATTTTATTGCACTTGATCGACTTCCAGTACCTGGTCTTGATGGAGTTCCATCACAATGGCAAATTTATCCTCAAACACCTATATCATCATTTTCTGAAGGTGTCACTCTTGAACAATATAATTCAAATACACAAATATTACAATTAAATGTTCAAACAAGATTTTTTGCTATCTATGGAAACATACCACAAAATCCTCCAATAGCTTGTGCTCCAGCTCCGAAAGGTACTTATTTACAAGTACGACGTGATATTCAAGGTATTATTAAACTCAAAGCAAAACTTGTTTTCAATTCATAAATAAAACTTAATCATATGCTTAGTTATTTTTATTCATATGTTTTTCTCATTATAGAAATTACCTATACTTTAATAAAACATAAAGCTTAAAAATTTAGAGATTTTTGACTAATATAGAAACCAGATCATATCATAGAATGCGTACTCTGCAGATAATCTTTGAATCCTGCAGGACATTCAGGTCGTTCAATTGATCGTGAACTAATGGAATTCTGGTCTTGTAGTGAAACTCATCGTGATTTTTCATTATTATCAACAGTAGCCAGAAGAGGACATACAAAAACCAGTAACTACTATCCATTTCAAAATAGAATACAGCATTAGTAGAAATCGAATAGCTCAACAGCGGCAGAAGATATCGAGATGCGGTTTTCTGTATTCGAAAGTCAAATATGGGGCTTGTATAAAAATGTTATTGAAAATTTTTTTTTTGATTTTTAGGAGGGGAGGAGGGTTTTTGGAAAAAGTCGAAATTTGGGGAGATGGAATTTAGATTTTTCAAGTTTGAGACATGCAGTGGATAACAGAGACATTTCTCTACAATCCGGACCAAAGAAAATTTTTTTTTAATGCTTTCCTGAAAAATCAGGTCTGACGTCGGAAAAGCTCCAAAAAGACAGTTTTCAGCTAGGGAAATTCACTTCTGAAGCCTCTAACGGCAAGAATAAGGTCGGTTTATAGGTTTTCCACCTTGCTGATCCTCATAATGTGCTTAGTTTTATATAAGAGCAAACCTTTAACTATCAATTCAGCCGCTTCATCCCCTTGCTAGCATCCCGAAACTCTCATATTTTGTTTATCAGATGTTTTCGATCATTTTCAATTGTCTTTGCTATATTCTGATGATGCGAATGAAGAACATCAACTACTTCTTGTGTCTGTTGCGCAGGTAACCAGTACCAAATGCTGTTGCTTTTATTCATCGAAATCAAGATCAGAATCAGATTCCAGGGTTTGATCAAGCTCGTTTTCTTCGTCGTCGATCACATCTGGCTCGATGTCCTCTTCTACATAGGCGTCGGCTTTCAGAGCGTGCTCGAAGAGAGTAGATGATGTCTCGTCATCAAGTGCAGCAATATATTCTTCTGAGAGCGAACGGACGTCGGACAGGCGAAAGAGTGTATTGTTTGTTCGAACATAAGTCTTGAAGTGAGCCCAGGCCAATTCAACTGGATTAACCACGCAATGCTTAATCGGTAGTCGAACGACCTCGACGTTGAAAGGCTTCGCCGCCTCGTTCGTTTTGTACCGCTTTGGTGGCACATGAGCAAAGGCGATCTCAAGCAGTTCAGCTTTGGAAAACGTCGAATCATATTCGATGCTCTGATCATCAAGCCACTTCAGGATCTGCCCTTTGTGCCATGCTCTTTTCGGAGGCTTGCTGTCGTCTGTCAACTCATTATGCCAAGTGGCATTGTCGATTATAATGGCAATGCGAGCTGCTGGACCATGTTTGAAACGTAGATGAGAAGCGGAGAAGGTGATCCACTCGATAAAGTGCGCAGAGTTCTGAAAGAAGCCTTCACAAATATAAAAACCTGCGAATGAAAAAGTGTGATACAGACAATGGAATGATCGGTGTCACAAGTGAACAGATCCACTGTCTCCTTATGAAAACCACTCTTGTCGATCATCGCAGAGACCGCCAATCTCTTTCCTTTTCCGTCTTGTTTCCGTATCCGCCCATCTCCCCCCTTATCAAGTCAGACTGATCGTTTCTCCTCGCCTACATGGCATCAAGTTTCGTCGTGAAAGTATAGGTGAGCGCCAGTCTTGCTTAATTTGTCCAGTCGACGGAAGTAGACTGCACACTGAGTGACGAACGAGATCGAGTCGAGCGGCACACTAACTTTGCTTGTCTGCTTGTACGAGAAGCCGAATCGTTTCATGTGCCGCCATAGTGTGGTTGACGACTGAATAGAAAAGTCGGCATGCTCGGGATGAATACTAGCGAGAAGATTCACCACAGTTGGGTATCACTTTTCGGCCTTAAGTAAAAAAAGAAAGAGAATTCGAAAGCAAAAGATAGTGACTTTTGTACCAGAATCAAATGAAAATGATATCGAATTGCACCATCAGCTGCTTCACTGAGAACCACACGCGGACGACCAGAATTTCCTTTTTTGGATGATGCGCAAGGACTGATGGCACTTGTGATAGACGAGGTGGCAGAGAGAACCATTCTCGATCTTCGATGAACAATGCGGCGTTTTCGTTTTTCAGAAGTGGTGGCATCCGATTGAGACCGGGTGCGAATAGACGTTGTTTTCTCTTCAAACTCTTCGTCATCGTGGTTGGTTGTCATCTCGTCGTTGCCCTGTTGGTTTACTGTTTTCGCTGTTTGATCTTGTTGAAGTTTGTTCAGCTGCGCTTTTAGATAGTGAACTGATCGTTCGCTGCACCCAAGTAAAGCGACGACTCGAGCTGTGGTGCTGATGAGTGGAATGACGAGTCCATTCTTCTCCTTCTCCACAAAATCGATAACCCGAAAGAAGACAGCCTTCAGTTCGGTGCTGAAATCTTTATCTTTTGGCATTGGTGTGATTGGATCAGATCAGTTATTCTTCTGCGTTAGTGAGCGTATCGTCGAATAGCTATTACGAAAAGTTGTGGTTATTTATATTGTAGTTTCTGTGTTTGTGTGAGTGAGTTCGATTTATTCGTACAACACTTGACACAGTACAGAGAAGAATGAAAGACAATAGGAAAGAGAGAAAGAAACGAAACTAACGAACGAACATATATATATAGATGAACCAGTTGGAAGAAACCAAGATATAACGTATACCAATATATTGGAAGAATCCAATCTAGCGCATACGATAACACATTGGGAAAATATCCAATAGAAATATGTTGGAGAAGTCTAACATGCGATATACGGATATTTCCAACTATCACGGATGTTCTAAAACACATTCCACGAACATATACAAAAAAATGTCCAGCCATGCAAAGATCAACAACAATAAAGATCGAAAACATCTGACAAACAAAATATGAGAGTTTCGGGATGCTAGCAAGGGGATGAAGCGGCTGAATTGATAGTTCAAGGTTGGCTCTTATATAAAACTAAGCACACCATGAGGATTATCAAGGTGGAAAACCTATAAACCGACCTTATTCTTGCGGTTAGAGGCTTCAGAACTGAATTCCCCTAGCTGAAAACTGTCTTTTTGGAGCTTTTCCGACGTCAGACCTGATTTTTCAGGAAAGCATAAAAAAAAATTTTCTTTGGTCCGGATTGTAGAGAAATGTCTCTGCTATCCACTGCATGTCTCAAACTTGAAAAATCTAAATTCCATCTCCCCAAATTTCGACTTTTTCCAAAAAACCCTCCTCCCCCTCCTAAAAATCAAAAAAAAAATTTTCAAAAACATTTTTATACAAGCCCCATATTTGACTTCCGAATACAGAAAACCGCATCTCGATATCTTCTGCTGCTGCTGAGCTATTCGATTTCTACTAGTGCTGCATTCTATTTTGAAATAGATAGAAGTAAAGTGGTGGACATAAATTTAGGACATTTTTGTTTTTGATATAACTAAGCCGCCTTTATAGATAGAGACCTTATTGTTTCAGTAATAGTAAGATCTCTTTAAGTACTATGCTACCTGAAAATATTGCCAAGATCGAGTCTGTTTTGGATGAGTTCTAGTAAAAACAATTTTTCTCCAGCGGACATAATTTTAGGACATTTTTGGTATTTTGTGTTTTCTGATCGAGTAATAGTATTGAAAACAGTTGAAACACATATCATTCGATGCAGAATTTTGTCCTGTATATATTGATAAGAAAAGTTCACTCCACGATCAGTCTTTATTTTTGAAATCTGGTGTTTATTAGCCCCAGGGATCCATGGCATTTCCAAATAACGAATGCAAGTAATCTCAAAACCAACCAGTGCATCGGATACAGCTCAACAACCTGAACAAAACAATGCAATTTTCATACAAAAAAGTTGTGTTTGAGAATGTGTTTTGAAGAGTTTTCTGCTTTTGCTGACTCATTGATTCTCGAAAGTCAGATTTTTTTCTATAAAAAAGTCAATTTAAAATTTTCGGTCTATATCAGTTTTGTAGAGAATTTAATTCTCTACAAAATGAGACACTTCGCACTTCTCTATGATACCTACAAAAAATTGTTCTGTTTCATACACTTTTGGTAGAAAAAAATTGAGCTGAGATACATAGATCAGCAGTAGACGCCATCTATTTTACTCGTCATATTTCTCTTATATTTTTATAAAAATAGTCTATGGAGCAGAACAATTTTTGAGGCATCACAGAGAAGGGCGGAGTGTCTCATTTTGTAGAGAATTTAATTCTCTACAAAACTGATATAGACCGAAAATTTTAAATTGACTTTTTTATAGAAAAAAATCTGACTTTCGAGAATCAATGAGACATCAAAAGCAGAAAACTCTTCAAAACACATTCTCAAACACAACTTTTTTGTATGAAAATTGCATTGTTTTGTTCAGATTGTTGAGCTGTATCCGATGCACTGGTTGGTTTTGAGATTACTTGCATTCGTTATTTGGAAATGCCATGGATCCCTGGGGCTAATAAACACCTGATTTCAAAAATAAAGACTGATCGTGGAGTGAACTTTTCTTATCAATATATACAGGACAAAATTCTGCATCGAATGATATGTGTTTCAACTGTTTTCAATACTNTCTACAATTCGTAGCATTTTTAGAGAGTTCATTAGATCTCTGAAGACGTCTATTCACGAAAATCAATGTCTAGCCGATTTCCTGCATAGTTGAAAAAGAATCTTATATGAATGATTCTTTTGAATTCCAATAGATTCACATAGAATGATGTTACGAAACCAGATTAGAACTGATCTTTTTTATTTTTTTATTTTTGATCAGCCACTACTCAATCGAGTACAACCCCGCAAATAAATGTAATCTCACAATACTCATCGGCGTTCACTAACGCTAGTCATACTTTTTGCCGCAGTGGTGTCTCCTGTTCACTAGAAAAGTA